TTACGATTAGCATATATAGTGTTGTGGGGGCGTACGGGGAGCGCTGTACAACACAGAGAAGACAGGTGGTGATTATACAGCATCTTGCTATGCTGATGGACTGTGACTGTAGTGGGGGGGTACTTATTGTGAGTGGGGGAACCTGGTAAACATAGTGTTCTTCATGTAATTGTAGATTAATGACAGCAAAAAAAAAAAAAAACTACCTCCCTTAATTGAGGCTTCCAGTGTGTGTTGAGTCCAGTTCAAATAAATCAGGTTTTGCTAATCAAGATACCTATTTGTAGTCCTCCAGCAACATAAAAGAAGGCTACTTTGGAGTGACACAGAGTTTTCATTTTGCTATTTAGTGGATCTGGAATTGAGATCATAGAATTGAGGAGCAGATTCCCTTATGTCCCTTTAACAAATCTGATAATGCAGTTTAGCTACTGAAGCAGGAGTGGAAGACCCATGGAGAATGGGGAATTGGCACCTGTATCAGTCAGCTCAGGCTGCCCTAACAAAGTGCCATAGAGTGAGTAGTTTACACAACAGAAAGTTGTATTGTTGCAGTTTTGGAAGCTGAAGTCCAAGATCAAGGTCCCATCAGGGTTGGTTTCCGGTGAGACCTCTCTTTCTAGCTGGTAGATAGTGCTTTCTCACTGTGTCCTCACATAGTCCTTACTCTGTGCTTGCATGGAGAGAGAGAACTCTGATGTTTGTTCCTTTTCTTATAAGAACACCAGTCCTTTCAGATTGGGGACCCACACTTATAGACCCCATTTTACCTCAGTTATCTCCCTAAAAGCCCTATCTCCAAATACAGTCACAACGGAGGTTACAGCTTCAACATATGAATTAGGAGGGGGTTTAATTTAGTTCTTAACAGCAACCCATTGCCTTCCCAATTCAACATAAGAATGCTTCATTAGGTTAAAACTCATGAAATTGTCATTTCTACAGGCGAAAACTAGCTGATTATCAGTAACTTCAAATGTATCAACCTGTACATGGTCAATACAAATATGCTTGATTGCTGAAATGTCCACGTGGTTATCTCTTAAACTGGTAAAACTAGGAAATAATGAGTTATATTGACTCATTTTTAATGATGTCTATGCCCCCCAATCTGATAGATTTCCAGTTGAACTCTTTATAAAGTTAAGTTTGAGACCACCTGAACTTTTATTACCTCAATGTAAAAGTCAGAAAGTGTGAGTTAAAACTGAATCAATGGCACATAACTTTAACTATTTACTTGACAGTTCAACTGCACTAAAACCCTCCTCAACATGATTTTTGGACTATAAATGTTGGTATCTGAAGGACAGTGTTAGTTGTGCAGCCAGAAGCATAAAATGAATAAAATATGTGGGGTTTGGGCTAAGCACACACATATTTTTACCTCCGGGTGAGAAATTTAATTGCTTCTTCTTGCTCATGCTGATAAGAAAGCCAAATGGTCAATCCAGGAATTGCAACAAATCAATTACTGACAAGTAATGGAGTCCAGTATCAAGTGAGATAAGGATGCTTAGAAATCAGCTTCGTCAGAGGACTTACTGTTGCGATCTGAATCACCCAAGCCCTCTTTGTATTTAAATATTGGCTCCTTCTCTCCAGCTGGTTGTGACTGCTTGACAGGGACCGCATAAAATATGCATCTATCATGTATCATGACCAGACTAAATGGATTCCCAGTTCTGCTGGGGCTGCTGAAAACAAGCTTACCAAATTCCTGGCCTCTAGAAACTCACCCCACAAGATACCCTTGTACTGAAAAAAAAGCAAACTTGTATTTTGCACTTGTTTAGAAACATAATTATTAAGAATTTATGCTCTACAAAGATGTACCAAGCAAACTGCAATAGATTAGCTCCCCTATGCTCACAAAACAGATTATAATAAAATCAATATTATGAGTTTCCACACCTGAGAATCAGGAGGATAAAAATTTCTAAAATATCTATTATGTTACCTCAGCTTGGTGGCAGATGGGAGTAAAACCAGACATGTTTGGTTATGTATTGTGCACCAGACAGTTTTCATGCTTCAGTCTTATTTAATTATTTTTAGAACCCTGTGAAATAAAAATATCATTACCCTTGCACTTTGCCAAATCTGAATCTCAGGAAGACTTTCTCCTTTCCCTCTTGCTCATAACTAATAAGTAGCAGTAGAATTGATGTTTACATCTAGATTTGGTTGGTTCCCAAGAAATTTCTACTGTGTCATAGTAACATTTTTATGTTATGTCAATTCTATAAGTGCCATTTATATTCAATACAAATACGTTAAAATATATATATTTAATAGATAAGCAAGCAGTGGTATATCCATATTAGAGAATATTACTTAACAGTAAAAAGAATTAGAAGTCCCACAGCCTAGACAAATCTCAAAGGCATTATGTTAAGTGAAAGAAGCAAGTCTCAAAATATGAGTCCATTTATATGTAATTATTGAATAGACACATTTACAATGATAGAAAACAGATTAGTGATTGCCAGGGGTAGAAGTGGCTGTGTGCTGTGACTATAGAGGAACAGCACATGGGAATTCTTTGGGATGCTGGAGCTGTTTGGCATCCCAATTGTGACAATTACCTGGACTGTGCATGTGTTATAATTCACAGAACTATACACCACACATCAATACAAAAAGGAAAAGGAAATATTTGAAGCATGGGAAAATTGTAGAAAAGGCATCACTATGTACTAATAAAACTTCTAATATTTTTTATAGTTTTGTTCTTACAAGTAAAGGTGACATCTTTTGGGAGAGTTTGTAATCCCACATGGAAAGGTATACATTCTGAGTTATCTGTATTTACAAGATGATAAAATATGAGCTGAAGAATAATGAAAACTGATATGTACCTGCCACAGTCTTGTGGAGTTCATATATATATATTTATTATCCTAAGGAATGTTGTGAACTTTTCAGACAAGAATTCAGTGTATTAAGAGGGACATCCCATCCGATAGCGTAGAGTGTAGATAGGGTCCTTTTGTTAGAGCTCCTTCTTGTGGCACCTGGTGGCAGAAATAGGCACCCTTTCACAGCGATGAGGGGAAAAATGCACCAATTCCTGTGGAAAATTAAAGAACTAGAAAAGAGACATTGGAAAAAACACATTTGTGCCAACTGCACTTAGAAAATGGAGATTGGAAGGAAGCTGGGGCTGGTAGAAGGAGAGGATGCCAGAATTTAATCTGGTCACATCAGATCGTGGCTTACCCTCTGGCCACACCCACTGACCACATCTACTTGCCCTACCTAAATGGAACAGGTGAGTCAGCACTGGCCTAGGAATTTGCATTGTTGACGATTAGGTACGGAAGCTGGGGAGGGAAGAATTGGCCCTTTAAGTGGTTCTTCTGTAGCTTCAAAAGGTTATATTGAGCCTTCTCAAGGCTTCAGGCATGTTATTAAATGAGTTAATGTATGAGAAAAGAGCTCTATAAATTGTAGGCTACCACAGAAGCGTTAGTTATTATTAACCTTAAGACTGGGAGACTGACTCAATGGAATATGTTAAATTGATGATTAACATCTGTAAAGTAGCCCAAATACCAAAGCTCAATCTTTCAAATTTTTAAATGTGCATTTTAGGTAGATATAATCCATATATGCCTGCACATTGTGCAAATATTCATACTTCACATTAATAGATGCATATAAATGAACTGAAAATTGTAAATTAGTAAAACCACAGCAACCCATCTGGATAGGATTAGCCTTTGAGAAAAACCCATTAAAATGAAATATGTTAAATAAATCAGATTTGGGGGGTCAAGTTTTCTGGGGAAATACAATCTGCAATGTTGCATCTCTACAGAATTTCCATCTGAATTGTACTAATGATGTGCAGACTGAGAGGGCAATGAAAGAAATATTTCTAAGATTGTGGGCCTCAGTTTTAGCAGATGTTGGATGTTCTTACAACTAAATCAAAAGGAGCTGGATAAAAACCTTTGCACACACTTTACATATATTTGCTAGAAGAGAGATTTTCCATAATGAGCAATTCAGAGAGGAAATATGTAAGTATGCACTAGCTTAGAGGAACAACTCACATATATCAAAATATGAAGGTATTTACAACGTTGCACTGATGCTTTCTCCCAGGCACACTGAGCAAAGGCTTGAGCTCTGTTTTCACAATGACTTTCACAGGAAGAGCTCCTCTCCAACCAACTGACTCGCAGTGATGGTGAGAATGTCACAGCTGATGCATCTGTGGCTCCCAGGCTTCTTAAATGAAAACTAAGATTCACACCGAAATGGTAAATAGCTATTTGTTTTATCATTAATGTCTCATTCCACCTTATCCTTTTGAAGTCATTCAAGCAGGACTGTTCAGAGTTACTGTCTGAGGCAACCTAGTGCAGAGTAAGTCTGCAAGACAAAACATTGTGGTTTTGTCTGTGTGAGTGTGTCTTTTTCACTTTATACACCTCAGAGCACTGGCACCCTAACCATATTCTATGATGTCATCCTTCTTTACTCCAACATGGTTTCCACACTTTGCTGCACATTAGAATTCCTAGAAAGGTTTTAAAGCTTTTGCTACCCAAGTCCCACCCCATACCAATTATAGCAGAATGTCAAGAGGTGGAAGCTGCCAATAGTACTTTTTAATAGTCACCAGGCAGTACCGATATGCAGCAAAATTTGGGAACTGCTACTTTGTGGCTAGTCTGACATACATTATACTGACTGATAGAAGGCTGGCACTCCATGTGTATCTGGAGATAAATGGAGGGATCTAGCCTCAGATAAAAAATCCTTCTAGCTGTTCAAGTTCACATGTACCCTTTTTTACATTAATTTTGTGAATACTTCCACCAGATAACTTAGAAACAAATGTTAAACCTCTTTAGCTACAGATATTAAAATCAAAATACCATCATACTGGTTTTTCTTAAACATTGAGTTACAAATGATATATGCAATGATAAGACCCAATCCTAGTGAGAATGCGCTACAGTGAGCATCATCATACTTACTCACAGTATGGCTTCATTGAAATGCTTTCAGCCTGTATCACTGAGGCCGCAAAAACTGGCTCCCTGACACATTAAGTACATTTTTAAATCTATCCTTAGAAGATAATCGAAACTTCAGAAATTATGGCTTAGCCTTATTATTTATAATATGGTGAAATAAAAATATTCAAATGTCCAGCAACAGGGCATGTTTGAGTTAATTGTTAAATAGCAACTCAATGTCATATAGCAAATATAACATATATTCTATATATTATATATACTATTCAGTTATATATAACATGTAGCATATAAAAATATTTTCAAATATTTAAGAACACAGAAAATATTTTATTACAATTATATTCTTTCATCATCCTCTTCTTTTTCTCTGTTTCTAAATGTTTCTTTGGAAAAATATATCACATTCATAATGGAAAGAAAAAATAATATCACTGAGGCCATAAAATCATCTAAATTGACACAGTAAGCCAAGATGACAGTGCATAAAATGGGAAATAAATTGTGTCCCCCAAAGGAATGGCCTATACGAAGTCCATTCCTATTAAGCTCTTTCATAACTGCACAAATATTGAATTTAGCATGAGTGAGCTCATGCTGTTGTCCAGAGTTACAGTTTTAAAGAGGAAGTAAGATTTGAATGGAAGTTTGCCTATGTTTGGGTTTTACTAAGAGGAAAAATTTGAACAGAAGTTTCATACTCTCAAAGGTTTGAACAAAGAAATGGAGGGCAGGAGTGAGGCTGGTGTGTTTTGCTGGTAGGTGGAAGGCAGGCTTGGCTAGTGTTGGGGAGAAGATGGAAATTGTTTTGGACAGGGAGACTGAACCCAGATGGTAGCAAGCCCTAGAGAGACAGATCTAACAATCTGAGCTCTTTCCTAAAAATAATGGGAAATCATCTGAACTATTTGATGAGAAAATGGATAAGGTTGAAGCAGCACATTGTGAGGATTATGAGAATACTAGTTTGTATAATAATTCACAAAGTAGAGATGGGAGACACACAGATGATTGATTGAGAAGCAAAAACAGTGATCTAAAAATTCAAGAGTGATCTTTTAAAAATTCAAGGCTAATCATATTTCCCCATTGTCTAAAAACTTCAGAGATGTTCTCTGATCTCAAAATAAAGAAAATCCTCTTAACATGATGTATAAGGCCTTTCATAGCATTACTCATTATCTACCTTTCCAGATCCTCTATTCTGTACCAGACTGCCCTTTAATCTGCTTCTTGGAATGTCTACTCACCATGCTACTTCCAGTCATAAGGCATTTATGCTTAGAGACTGCTGCCTGGAATGCTCATTTCTGCCCTCTTGACCCAGTTAACTTCTGCTTATACTTGATATTTCAATTAAAGTGCCACTAACTGGAGACACCATCTCCTACCTCCCTAATCCTCCCATTATAGGCTCACATAGTACCAAGTACCTTTCAGGCATTATAATCATCTATGTTGATATTGTACATTTGTTTGGATTACTATTTGTTAACCTTCTGCTCATTCTTCTCAGGCCCATGTGGACCGAATCAATATTTTACCTTTCATTTACAACCCCACTGCTTAAAAAATTTTCTGGCACCTGGTACATACTTAATAAATAGTTGTTGAATGTATGCATGATAAATAAGGTGTAGAAAGGGTGGTAGAGGTATGAATTGAAGAGAAAAGATGAGTAGGAGAGACTTTTTTAAAGAACCATAGGAACAAAGGAAAATGATAAATATAAGATGATGCCAAAGAACACTGGATGATTTGGGATGGTAAGGCCATTGACCATCATGGAGAAGAGCATGGGGTGAAGGAGAACAGGTAGATTTAATATTGTAAAGGTTAGAAATACATCAGACTCAGATACACCGATTTGAGAATTATCTACATAAAAATGGTGATGAAAATAAGAACGAGGAATAACCTACACTATGTGTATGTATATATAGTTTCATATTTCCTTACGGAGGGACTTGTGCTAAGAGTTACACTCCTGATGTGTCTTACTCATTTCTCCCCAAGCAGAAGCAGTGATTTATGTGATTGGGAGTGACAGTGACAGCCACTGGTTCACGTTTTTTCCACTGGATAAATCTTATCTGTTTAAAGGCTGAAAGATCTGGAGATACTTCCCCTTTTTGTGGGAGACAATTCTGGGTATGATCTAATTTGTTCTTTTAATTAGGTTTTTTATTTTATTTTTTTTCAATCTCTAAACTTGGAATAAGTGGACAGAGAATATTAGCATTTCTTTTCAGCCATGGACCTGTAGAAACAGTTGATATCCATTTGCTGATCTCTTATGTCTAGTTTTTCAGTTGGTTCAACATTATGCAGTAGAATGAATTGATGTTATGTATTAGTCCCTTAGAGCCCCAATATTCTAGAAATGTTTAGAAAGGAAAGTGTAAGGGTGAAGGAAAATAGAGCAGCCACTGAAACAGAGAAGTAATATTGACAATGTTTGAAGATATCAAGGATTTCCTGTTGTCAAGGAGACCAAGGAGGGAGAGTTCACAAAGGATGTGTGAGAGGAGCACAGCCCAAATCTGCCAAGTAGGAGGGAGAAGGAGGACAGAGTTGGAGCCCCTGGTTTTGGATGTTAGATACCTGATCACCTGTACAATTTTACTCTACATTGAATGGTCAAAGAAGAATCCAGATTTCCAGAGGCAGTAAAGAAACAGAAGCAGCAGATCCAGATTATTTGTTAGAGTTGTTTGAGAATCAGTTAGTTCAGGGGACTAGACAGTGGTTGGAGGAGGCCACAAGGTAAAGACTTTTGTGTTCTGTTTTGTTTCCCAAGAAGGGGAAGATCAGCAAACACATTTGATGATTAAGCACCCATATAGGTATGAGTGAATGAAGAGGTTAAAGGTGAAGAACCTGTTCATGGGGGTAGATTTTGAAAGAGAAGAGAGCGAGAAGGAGAGATGGGTGACAGGGTCAGCTCTGTGAAGCTGGCTTCCTTCACAGAGATTGGAGGGTGAAGGTATGAAAACAGAGAAGGGAAGCTGGTGAGGTCATCTGCCAAGGGGAAGCCACGAGAAAAGAGCCAGCGAGAAAGCAGGTGGATCAAAGCGTGATGCTCTCAAGAAGGCTGAAGGAACGTACTTTGAAAACAAGTACTGTTTCCTCTTTAATTTGGATCCTGTATCAAAGTCACTCCTTTAGATTGCAGAGTAAGTGAGAAATGGACTAAAACAGAATCCAATAACCCAATTGAAAAGCAGCTTTTGAAGGGTGTATATATATGTGGCTGGGCATCCCAATTTAGAAAGAAACCCCAAACTCCCATGAGAAGAAGCTTGATCTTGAAGTTGAAAGGCAGACCTTGAGATCTGCACCACCAGGAAACATGGTTTCCACTCCTTCAACCCTTTCAATCCCCTTAACACCCCAATCTTTCCTTTCCCTTTGGGAAAAATAGCGAGAAAACAAAACACTTATTTTTCTCTTTTAGCAGTTAAAATATCTTATGAATGTGGCCCTTTTTAATGACTCCTATATCAGAGCCACTAAAGTTGTGCCAAACCCACTGATTGATCCAGTGCCATGTTTTGAGACTGAATGAAGTCATGGGACACGTCCAATCAGCATAGCATGGGAAAAACACAAAACGGAAAATTAATCCCAGGAGGTTTTTCACATGGTCTAACTCTTGTTAGTGAAAATCAGTAATGTGCTATGTTTCCCTTTTTAATATAAAAACATTTCAAAATGTACACTAAAAAGGTTTGTATTAAAGCCAAAAGGCAGAAGCAATGTAGTTGAAGGCAACATTGGTTACGTATAAAACGTATAAAACGTATAAAACGTAACCAAATAACTTGAAGCACAGAAAAATAAAGTTATTAATTATCCATCTTCTCTTGACCTCATTTAAAAATAAAAATATAGAGGACCAAGAAGAATATATTATTTCAATGATATTCCTTGAATCAGCAAGTTAGTAGCAACTGAAAATGAAAGTCAACATGAAAACATGGGCAAAATGTGTTATGCAGGGGGCTAGCTACTTTTAGGATGTAATAACAAAGTAAGAGATCCAATTTATGTCCTGTACATGTTCAGCAGTATGCTAATCACCCTATTTCTTTTGCCTTATTATAATGAAGTTTCAAACATTCAGAAAAGTACAAAAATAATATTTTTAAAAACCTGTGGGCCCACCACCAGTTTAAAAAAATTATGGACAATTTCAAAAGTATATATAATTAAAGTGAATAGTATAATATAACCTTCTGTCCTTGTTGCCACTTTTAATAATTAACACCTTAATTTTGTTTTATCTTTAATTCTTCATTCTTCTAGATTATTTGGAAGCAAATTCCCAATATATCATTTTATCCATAAATTATTCAGCATATATATCTACATGAAGATTCGTACTCTTCAAAAAAAACAAAATTAGAGTAATCATACTTAATAACTATATAATATTATCTGCTATCTGTCCACTTAAGGTTCAGATTTTCTTCATTGTGTCATCATTTTTTTTTAGTTTGTTTAAATAAAAATCCAAATAAAGTTCAAGATTTTCAATTGGTTGTTATGTCTCTTATTTCTATCCCTCATCATAAGTTTTTCCATTGAAATATATTAAAGAAATCAGTCATTTAGCCCATAGAGTCTCATAGTTGAGATTTTGATAATTACATCCTGGAGAGTCAACTAACATGTTCTCATCCCCTGTATTTCTGGGTAGAGGAAGGGAGGTCTAGTTTTATTATTTTGGCCAGAGCATTTCATAGGTTTTAATATGTAGTTCCCTTAGGAAGTAGAGGACATCTGTTTTGCTTTATTTTGTTTTGTTTTCCTCTATTAGTGATATCAACCATTGATGCTTAATTCTTAGATCTGTTCATTCATTTAAGGATTGGAAAACTTTGATATTTTAATTTTATCATTCCTTTTTTATTAGTTCTAATACACCTATAAGAGAAATTTACCTAATCAATGATTTGATCATTCAATAGTACAGTTTGCATAGGAAAAGCAGGATAAATTCTTGATTAGTTCCCTTTGTTTACCAGTTCAAAAACATAAGTTGGTTTCTTAACATTCTCCAAAGGTGAACAATGAGAGTTTAATATACATTACATATATAATATTAATATGTATTAATTATATTAATATAGTAGTATTTTAATAAAATATTCTATTAAGATTATATACTCTAATATACTAATATAATTACACATTATGTATAGTAATATTACATAATTTTATATTACATTTTGTATATTCATAAACTCATACAGATTTAAAGGTATTTGAAGTGTTTCATTCCATTAAGTTGTTATTCTCATTTATACTCTAATTATACTATTTTAGGCCAGTAGGAATGTCTTCCCATTGGTTCCCTAGGTCCTTTTGATACAATTTTCATTATCATGGTTAGTTTCCTTGCTTCTTACATGATGAAATGTTCCAGGATCATCTCTTACATGTTTGCCACAGACCTAGAACCAGCTATTTTTCCAGGGTACTTTGGTTCCTTTTACAGGTAAATGGTATTTAGAGACTAAAATCTGCTCAATGGTGGTTGCTTTATTGCCACCAAATTGGCCATTGTTTATAGGCTTTTTTAATGATCAAGCTATATATTTTTTTCCTTTTAGAGAAAATACGACATGTGTCCACACTAATATTCTGATTTAAAGTCAGGAATACCAGGTTTGTACTTAACCTCATTGTCTTACTACATCTGCACCTCCTTTCCCTGTTTCTGAAAATTATGCTTCACAAAGATACTTGCAGAATTGCACATCTGGTTTATCATACAATGAATAAACAACAGAATAACATCAATACTACCACAAACAATATAAAAAAATTTTTCTGTTGTGTTTTTTCCTTCAGGGTGGGGATAGTTTTATTTGTTTGTTTGTTTTTCCTGTATTTGACATTAGAAATGTAAACACAAATTCCTGTGTTTTAAAGTCATTTTAAATAGTTCCTCCCTATGTCTTTATACCACCAAGTTGACAACCAGATAGGTTATTTTGTTTCAGTTTGCTTTTAAGTTTTTACTTTTTCCCTCTAATTTGATTTTATAGTATATAAATCATTTATAGAAGAAATCGGAAACAGATACTTCCTCAGTCAAACTTTAAGGTTCCTGCAGCCTCAGCTAACCCTTGATTAAACCTTAATGAACCTTCATTTCCAGGTGCAAAATTTTTGGATAATTTGTTACTTTGCAACAGATTATTAATACACCACATTTCCTTTCTTGTTCCTACATTTAGCCCAGTTTTATATAAGGTCATTGGCAGTTTTCTTTTTATTTTTAGAAGTGCTTTGTATGTCAGAGTTATTATATCTTTGCCTGTACCTCAAATATTTTCCCAGTTTGAAATTATTTTATTTTTAAGTACTCAAATTTTCAATCTTTTCCCTTATTTTTCTCAATTTTGATCATAGGATAGTTTTCCACAACCAGGTAAAAGAATTTACTCATATATTCATTCTAGTTCATATATGGTTTCATGTATTTTACATTTTGGCCTCTGATCCACTTGGAATTTTTCCACAAATTGGATTAGCATAAGACACTAAAGTACTATACGGTTTAGGTAGCCTGGTATAGTAGAATCGTAAAGTTAAAAGATTGCATTTGAATCTCAGCTCTGCTTTTTCTTTCTTTTCCTTCTGTTTTTTTTTTTTAATATCGCTAATGTACAATTACTTGAACAACATTATGGTACTAGACTCCCCCTATTATCAAGCTCTGTAAACTTGAGCAATTATTTAACAGTTTCCACATCTATAAAATGAAGACAAATAAATTTAAAGTAATTGTCATAGTATTTGACCTCCTGTAAGTAATCAATCAACATAAGTTGCTACTATTATTCTTACTGTTAATATGTATGTTGTGACTGACCTATATTTGTTTTCATTAAACCTGTGGGTAAAACTGAACTTGCAGCTTGCTGACCATGAATCCTGGCCCAAACTTTCACAGGTATGTAAGCTTCTAAGAACTTCATTTTTGCTTAAAAATTAAGGTTATTAATGAATGAAACTATTGTGGGGATGTGTTTGTGTGTGAGTGTGTGGAGTGTGTGTGTGTGTGTGTGTGTGTGTGTGTGTGTGTACAGAGTGCAAGCTGTGCTTCAAGTTCCTGATTTTATACAGAAAAATTCTAATGCAGTTCTCATGGTTTCTCTATTTACATTACTTTCTTTTTTTTCTCTATTATTTTTAACTTAAAGCAGAGCTTCTTGAAAAGTGTGATATGTTTCCTCATATCACAAACTACATGTAGGCATATTTTGTTTTACTGCATTTTGCTTTAATGTACTTTGCAGATATTGCACTCTTTACAAATTGAAGGTTTGTGTCAACCCCCCGATAGAGCAAGCCTATCAGAGCCATTTTTCCAACATTTATTCACTTTGTGCCTCTGTGTCCATAAAGTATATTTAAATTAAGGTTTGTTCATTGTTTTTATAGACACATGCTATTGCATACTTAATAGAGCAAACATACTTTTGTATGCACTGGGAAGCCAAACCGTTCACTTGACTTGCTTTATTGCCATATTGCTTTATCATGGTGGTCTGGAGAAAGCCTGCAATAATTCTGGCTGTAGGGGCCCTCATTTTCACATGGGAATCCAACATTTTATATTCATGATTCTGAAATCCATTATTCTTAGCTCACTTTATTTTTTTCCATACAGACTATTACCTTCTGGCATCTGGTATATTTAATTGTCTGCCTGTTATTTTTACTCTCTCTAATTAGGAAGTAAGCTCCATGATGGTGGACATATGATCTATTTTGTTATTTCCTGGAACTTAGAACAATGCTTGGCACATAAGATAGATATTCAAGAAATAATTGCTGAATAAATGAATAAAATATACATATATAATATATATCTTGACCAGGTTTTCCCATGCAGTCATTTATTCAAATATTTAATGCATACCTACTGTGTGCAGGCACTCATCTAGATACTGGGGATAGAGCATTGAGCAAAAGCAGACAAAATTCCTGTTCCCACGGAACTTACAGTTGAGCAGATAAACAAGATAGGTAAGCAAACTGTAGTGTAGGTTAAGTAGCAATAAGCACAAGGGAGAAAAAATAAAGCAGAGGAGGACTTCAAATATTAGGTGGGAGTTGAAATTTTAGATACAATGGTCAAGGTGGACCCCACTGAGAAGAAAGGTCTATAAGAAGTGAGTGAACCAGCCATACTTATATCTAGGGGGAAAGAACATTCCAAGTCAAAGAAACAGCAAGTGAAAAGGCCTTGATGTAGAACTTGTCTGGCTTGAATAAAAAGTAGCAGGGTTGGCATGACTAGAGTGGAGTGTGGGAGGGGAAGAGGAGTAGGAGAGAGATTCACAGGGCACCAGATTATGTCTGGCCTTAGAGGTCACTGACAGGCCTTGGGTTTGGCTTTAAATGAGATGAGAAGGAGGGAAGTGGTAATATCTAACTGTGTAGAGCATAGACTGCAGAAGGATGGAGAAGGGCAGACGCAGAAGCAAGGAGACCAGTTTCGAAGTGATTATAGTGATGCTCTGACCTCTGGGCCCACATGTCCAACTGCCTGATGCTCATCTTCACTAACATACCTCTCAGATGTCACGCAACATATTCGGAATGCCAGGCAGAATTGGCTTCCACCTTTTCCACTCATGGTTTTCCTTCTCATTCCCTATTCCAATTAAAAGCATGACTTTGCATCCATCTAGGCACCTGGCTGGAAGCTTGGAAGTTATTTCATTGTTTACCTTCTCTTTCATGTGCACATTAAATCAGGTTCAAATGCCATGAATTATTCATGCTCTCTCTGAAGCCCTTCTTCCTCCATCCCCTCAGCTACCCATCTTAGTTCAAGCCTCCTCATTTCTTGTTTACTTCATGGAATAGACATGCCCTACCTCTCAATGTGTGACTCTAATCTCCTTTCCACATTTCTTTCAGTATGACTCTCCCAGCATTTGAACAGATCATGTCATTTCCTTGCTTAAATAAGAATTTTTAATGCCATCTTCTCTTGGTGTATTCTCTCCTCTATCATCTCTGAGATTTCAGACTCCTGCATGCTACCTCATCCCTCTTCTTTTGCCTGTCTCTGCTCATGACACACGCTTCCACATACGGTAGATGAAGTATAATCCTCTGGGAGCCTTCTCTGATAACCCTCACGGGAATTAGGACCCTTCCTGCGTGTTCACATAGTTTTCTAACTTTACTTCTTATTCCACTCATTTTACTTTCTATAATTATTGCTTTCATGATCTTATTTCTCTAAAACACTGTGTACTCCTTTACAGCAGAAACTATATAATTGAGAACCAATCTTTGGTGTTAAGCACACTCAGACTTACATTCCTGTTTTGTCTTTTCCTAGCTGCACTATTTTGAACAATTTAACCTATCTGAACCTCAGTTTCCTCCTTTGTATAATGGCCAACACAACACATAGGATGTTGTGGAATTAAATGAGGCAATAACAATGAAGTGTTTGGCATAACTCCTAACTCAAAAGAGCTTTCAATAAATATGAACTGTTACTGCCATCATTTATGTCAACAGAGGATTAATGAAGGTAAAATGAGGACAAGGTCAGCCTCCAAGGGAGGCAGTCCCATCACCAGAGGCAGGTATTGAAGCAGGAAAAGCAGAACTGGGGCCTACTGGGGATGTAAGCTGTAGGTCAGCAAGTGGCTCCCCTAATTAGACCAAGACAAAAGCTAAACCAGACCCAAGAGGCAAATCTCAATCGAGGCTGTCAAGAGAAGCTAGGTAAAGAAAAGTAGGGCACACAAGGGACAGTTCTCAGGAAAGTACTTTTTCACAGCCCTTACGGGTTGGGAGATTTTAAGTTACATGACTCCTTTAAGAAGCAGTGTTAAACGTAGATGCTTCATGTATAGGTAGAATGGTAGCTCCCACCCCCCACTAAAATATATGTGTGCGTGTGTGTGTCGAAGCCCTAATCTTCAGAACCTCAAAATGTAACTGTATTTGGAAAGTGGGTCTTTACAGAGGTAATCTCTTTAAAGTGAAGTCATAAGAGTGGACTGTAATCCAGTATGACTGGTGTCCTTATAAAAGGGGAAATTTGAACACAGAGACAGACATTCTCAGAGGGAAGATGACGTGAGGACACACAGAGAGAAGACATCATATGACTGGAGTAATGTATCTACCAGCCAAAGAATGCCAAAGATTGCCATCAAACCGCAGAAGCTAAAAGAGGCAAGGAAAGATTCTTCCCCTAGAATGCATCAGAGAGAGCACAATATTGTCAACATGTTACGTTTGGACCTCTAAAACTGTGAAGCAACAAATTTCTATTGTTTTAAGCCTCCAAGTTTTTGGAACTTTGTTGAGGTGACCTTAGGAAACTAATACATCTGGTGGTATAAAATAATAGCCAGTTCTTGAAGGCTATGTAATATGCATTCGAGACTAGTCTAAGCATTTTTCATGGCTTTTCACATTCGATCCTCACAGTTCTACAGGTCAGATACTATTATGTCCATTTTATAAATAGTAATACTGAGGTTTAGTGAGTTTAAGCAGTTTGCCTGGGATCACAGATAGGAAAGGGCAGAAACAAAATATGAACCTGCTCTACCTGACTAAGAGGTTGGGCTCTCAGCCACTGCAGTCTGTCCCCTGGTGCACGCCGGAGCACTGGAGTACATGTGGACTAAAACCTGAGTTCAAGGATATTGTCATCTCAGTAAATTATAGGTGTCATCTCTAGTTCTAAATCCCATCTTCCTGAAATAGTGCCAATAGCAGGCAGCTGTGATTTCACAGGAAAGAACAGAGTTAGAATTAGGTGGTCTGGGTTCAAGCCCAGACACTTTGGTAGGATAGACGTTTGGCATTAAGTGGACATTTAACCTCTCGATTTCTTCTTATACGATAATGTCTCCTACTTCTCCAGTCCCTCCTATATCATTATTTCTTCATTAGTATGTAGGGCAATTAAGAGCACTGATTTTGGAAAGGCAAATCTGGGTTTGAATCTTGGATGTCCACATATTTTTATATGACTTTGGGCAGATTCCTAAACTCTCTACATTTAAATTTTCTCATTTGTCAAATGAGAATATAATGCTTATCTCCTATTGTCATTTTGAGGATGAAATGAGATAAAGTATATATAGCAAGCAGTTCAGTGTCGGTCAAACTGAAAGGCTTAATGAATTTGATATAATTATTGATCATTTGGTACATTTTCTGGAACACAATAAATGCTCAAATGATTAATAAATTAGTGAAATGCAATAATATAATGAAAGCACTTTATCAACTATCAAGTTGTAAGATGTAACATTTTCTGCAAAATCTACACATCCATTTAATTACTGTCCATTACTGTTTTCTCTGATAAAATTTGAAAACCTTGGAATGCTACCAAATTTTAATTTTCTGGAAATATTGGTGATAGAAAGACTGTCAATATTTGTTCCACAAGTCAGAAAAAAAGTAACTAAATAGGAGTAGCTGATGAATTGAAAGCTCATTTGTATGCAAAATAAATTCAGGGTTATCTGATTGTTTTTGCTGGAATAAGCTGCTTAGTTAAAAATTAGCCTGACTCATAATTTTGACTGATTTAAGTAAACAGTAACAATAAAAACAAAATTGAACAGATTGTCTGGAATATATATTTCTGCTTACCTTATTTACTTCTACCTCAAATATCTCTGAAATTCTAAAGTAAATCTAACCTTCAGTAGGCCAGCCTGAATAATACCTTTTCTAGAAACCATTTATTACCATAAGCATCAATCTGTTTTCCTTTTATTCCTTTAGACACAGGCCACATTGCACCAATTATCTGTGTATGGGTCTTACTTATTTTTTTTGGTCTCTAGAGTTCCTTCAGAAAAAAAATCTATATAATATTCACCTTTGCTTCTCATGGCACTTAATATAGTGCTATGCATAGAAAAAATATCTGTTACATGAATGCCCTAAACCAAAAATCAGTGGATGAATAAATGAATGAATGAATACTGAATAGTTGCATTTCTGAATCATCATTTAGGGGCACTCACCATAAATATTACCAATATCTTTGAGTGTATGATATTTTCATATTTTAGAAAAATTGCTTGAAGTATTGTTGTGAGACAGTCTTACCTTAGCCCTACATGCCACTATTCACTCATATTTTGCTGCTTGTACCCCTTGCCCCCATAAATCTATTTTCCAGCCATTTAGAACTCCTTGCAATTTCTCACCATCATATAAACTTGCATGCTTCTGTCCTTTCGGATATGGTATTCCCTTTGCCCAGGCCATCCTTATCCCTAAAACTTTCTATTCAGTATTTAAAACATCTCAAAGTCATCTACTCTTTGCAATCTATCTGGGTACACAAAATCATTCTGACCTCCTTGTGAAATTTCTCTCTTCAGTGTGTTCTTTGCATCCTGTATTTGTTTCTGTCATCATATTTAATGTAATCTACCGTAATTGTTAATGTATTAATGACTTCTATTTGGTTGTTGTAATTTTCTTGAGTGACTAGTTTATCTCTGTGTACCTAGTATTAGGAAGACAGGAGCACTCAATTATGAGTGAGAAAAAAATCAAGGGCCACTTTAAAGTGAGTCATTTATTATAACTACCAAATTCTCCATTCTAATGATCATATCATGTCTAAAATATATGAATAATAGTAATAATACCTAAGTTTATACAGTGCTTTATTCTTTCCAAAATGCATTTGAACTAGTTTAAACCAAAAATTTATATTCACAATAAATTACATGCACATAACTCTTGTTCATTTCAGGGTGAGGTAGTTATGAGAGCACTTGTGACTTGTAACTTTCCTCCTTGCAGGCACCTGCAGGGACTGCACTCTCCATCCCTTTGAGGCAGGGCATGGTTATGCGATGTACTCTGGCCAGCGCAGCATGAAGGGATCTGAGCATGCCACTTCCAGGTGGCAGCTGTCAGGAGATGGTGCTGGCTTTCCTGGACATGAAACAATATCATTGTGCACCCCCAAATGAAGGCAGCAAGGAATAGAGCTCACTAACGACCTGAAATGGATATGCTCTAAGGGTAAGGAAGACAAAAAAGAAAAGGCAACAAACGAAATCCAAACTTTAGTTGCTTAAAGCTACTGAGATTTTTAGGGATTTTTGTTACTGCAACATATTCTAGTCTACTTTGAATGTTCACATATGAGAACTATATAATAACATTTCCCTATTTAATTTAATCTCATCTCTAGTTATATTTAATCTATGCAAAGATCAAGTCTGTGAATAATGATATAGTAAAATGCCCATGCTGATTCTGCCCATATCGTTAGCAGGAATGCCTAAGGAGAGAAATTTAGACCATCAGTACTAAAATCATGACTTTTGGTGAGAGAAAAGGTAGAGCTGAGAAAGGGTGAAGAAGTTAAGAAGTGCATTTGGTCTAGAAGAAAAGAGTTGGTGCCCAAGGCCCAACTCAGTCATATTGCTTACACTTTTGTCTATGTTTTTCAGAAGATAGGAAAAAGCAGGAAAACTGTATCAATATATAATCAAATAAATCCAATTATATTTGGAGCAGAGGACACATTTTTATTAGTACTGACTGCACAGCTTTAGCTGGTACTGGAGGATCTACAAGGATTCCTGCTCGCCTAGGTCTTCCCTCTCAGGTTGGTCTTGCATCACTGCTTGCAGGACTCACTGAGTTATGTTCAATGTGCATTCAAACTTATTTCCCCAATGTTTCATGTAGATGGTGTATAAAATACTTTCTTGAAGATATCAATTGGTTCGAGCGAACTCAGACTGTGCACTAAAGGTATTCTAAGAAGGAACAAAAAGTAAGATAAATTGATCAATAGCTTATGTGTATGTGTATATGGTGAGCACACATTTATCCACACAAAAACACATAATTAAAATATCCCCATAATAAAAATATTAAGCTTATTTTATGATTAAAGAGAATGAAATGGAAGAAAATCAATGACATTTCTAAGTTTCTATATCAAGTCCCCAGTCTTGGAAAATGTGAGTTCAGAAATCATAATAGCTCACCAAATTTTGACACTGATGAAAAGCATTATATACCTTACTTTGTCAACATTTGTTGTTTTAAGCAGCTATTATCTTATATCCTATGTTTTAATGATACTTATGATGCTAAACAACTTCTGAGACTTTATAATACATGTTCATTGCTCCTTATGAAACAGTATATCCAATATGAAGAGAGAGTTCTCCAGAGAAGAAATTCACATGGCCAACAGACACATGAAAAGATGCTCCACATCATTAATCATCAGGGAAATGCAAATTAAAACCACAGTGAGATATCACCTCACACCAGTAAGGATGGCCAGCATAGAAAAGACTAAGAACCACAAATGCTGGCGAGAATGCAGGGAAAGGGGAACCCTCCTACACTGCTGGTGGGAATGTAAGCTAGTTCAACCATTGTGGAAGGCAATATGGAGGTTCCTCAAAAAAACTGAAAATAGAAATACCATTTGACCCCAGGAATCCCACTTCTTGGAATTTACCCAAAGAATACAAGTTCTCACATTCAGAAAGACATATGCACCCCTATTTTTATTGCAGCACTTTTTACAACAGCCAAGATATGGAAGCAACCTAAGTGTCCGTCAGTAGATGAATGGATAAAGAAGAGGTGGTACATATACACAATGGAATACTATTCAGCCATAAGAAAGAAACAAATCCTACCATTTGCAACAACGTGGATGGAGGTGAAGGATAATATGCTCAGTGAAATAAGCCAGGTGGAGGAAGATAAGTGCCAAATGAATTCCCTCATTTGTGGAGATAACAACGAAGCAAAACTGAAAGAACAAAATAGCAGTAGACTCAGAGATTCATAGAAGGAACTAGTGGTTACCAAAGGGAAGGGGTGTGGGAGGGTGGTGGGGAGGGAGGGAGAAGGGGATTGAGGGGTATTATGTTTAGTACACATGGTGTGGGGGATCACGGGGAGAACTGTAGCACGGAGAAGGCACATAGTAAATTAGTGTAGTAAGTCATCTTATGACACTGATGGACAGTGACTGCATTGGAGTATGAGTGGGGACTTGATAATATGAGTAAATGTAGTAACCACATTGTTTTTTCATGTGAAACCTTCATAAGAGTGTTTATCAATAATACCTTAATAAAAAAATAATGATGTTATGTAACTGTTGAATCGTTGTGTTGTATATGTAAAACCAGTATAATATTATAAGTCAACTATTCTTCAATAAAAAGAAATAAATCTAAAAAAAAAGTATATGCAAATGTGATTTTCTCATATAACTAAAGCATTTATTACAGGCATCCTTTAAATAGTAAGCTCCTGATGAATTTAAATGCTGACACTTCATCAACTAATTGACATAAAATCTTGAAGGGCAGAGAAATGGTGAAGGTGTTAGGAAGGATTGCCAATTGCAAATCAATCAGAAATGCAGGTAAAATAGCTCTTCTAACGTAAGCCAATGTAATTAGAATTTCCTTTACTTGATTTGCACATAACTTTTCAGAAATTTACCTAATGAATAAGACACCTATGCATAAAATTAATTCAGAAGTTCAGCGTTTGTGTGCTCTGCCTCTAGGTTGCAAATTTCTCATTTAATTTTTAAATGGTTAAAATGGGTTTTTAGTCAAATGAGAGTAAACTTTCTTTAAAAACATTAGTTGCATAAACACATTAAACTACACATTTCCAAGCTCTGAAAACTCCTCTGCCACACCAGATCATCTAGCTTCTAGGCTGAAGATTCCCAAATCTACCTTTTTGTTCCTGTTCTCCAGTCCTACCTTTTCAACTCCAAGCAGAACACATTTACTAACCCTCAAGCCCAATATCACATGCATTCTTTCAAAACCTATTTATGAACACCAAACTTGTAGGTACTGTGTTAAGTATGGGAAAGACAGAGCTAACCAAATAATGCTTTCCTAACATGATTAAGGTTACAACCTAAAACCAACTCCAACCCTCATCCCCCACCACTGCATAAAAACTCTCCAAGTGTTCCTATCATTTAAAAAAATATTTTAGGCTGAATTCTTTGGATTTCTTATTTTAGGTTTTTGTTTCTTTTCATTATTCTTTACATTAAATCTGCTACTATTACTTCCTTCAGCATTTTTGTAATATTTAGTCTTTAATTTATCAGAAAAGATATTTATTGAGCACCTACTATATGTCACACACTCTTCTAGGCTGTGGAAATATAACAACGAAAAAATGAAAAACAAAACAAAAAGAATTTACTTACTATAGGAGAAAGATAGCCAATAAAAAATAAAGAGGTCAGGAAAGCTGTGAAACAGAAATGCATGAAGAGAATTAGGGACCGTCATGTGGGTCAGTTAATTTTAGTAGTCAAAGAAGGCAATCTTTTCCTTCTCAAGACACAAAACCTAGAGACCCTTCCTTAGGTTGTTAACATCCCTGCTACAGTTAAACCTTGAAGCTGTACTTGACATAGTCTAGTTTCTCAAAGATAACGTGTCACCATCTATCTCCAGGAATAATTTGGTTTCCCACATCAGAAGTTTCCATTAAATAATGAAGTCACAAAAATGTAACCCTAGAGAACTTTTATATCAGAGTATTTACTTTTGTTTGCTATTAGAACTTTCTTTAATCCTGGAGTGCCTTCTAGAATAAATAGTTGGTTTTCAATTATAACACATCGTAAGTCAAACCAAAATCCACCAGCTTTCTGTAACCACAGAGACTAAAGAACTTAAACGTGAACGTAGGTACATGCATCATGTTTAATGTAGCTAATATGTCCTTGAGTGAATCCTCTTTGCCTAATTTTCAAAATGGAGATAATCTTTTACAAATGGGGAGCTGGAGTATTTTTGTTAGTTTCCATGCCCTCGGCTACTTCTTCCTAATAATATCAAATAGAGCATGTTTCATAGAAACAGAATTTAAATCTTGTTTGAAATTTGCCTAGGCAGATAAGAGCTTCTTACCCAAGTCCACTGCCACAATTTCCAAATCTCCCCTTTGTTCAGGATAATATATACACAAAGAGAGAAAAAGCTGATCCTCTGTTGTACTTAGGTTAAACCCAGGTATATTAAATAAAATTCTGTTCTTTATATGGCAGTATAATTATACCCAACTTCATTTTATTGCTAGTTTAACATTTGAGTTATTTTAAAAAGGGGAAAAATACAAGTACTTATAAAGTATGTCTTTATTATTGCAAATCCAGATTTCCTGATTCTATATTGAATGCATGAGCTTGTAACTAAAAAAGAAAAGTGACCTATCTAATCATATCCAACCTGCATCTAGCACCTTGCCTGGAACATAATAAATCCTTGAAAGGTAAGTGTCAAATGAATAAATAAGTGAAGGAATGCAAGTATTTTTTTTAATTTACTATTTCTATATTAGTGGTTGTTCAGATTATCTTCCCAATCATATACTAATATTTACTCATTAATGAGCATTCTTGAAATTGGGAGAATATTTTGAAACATTTTACCACTAACAAACTTTAAGTAAAATGTGTTTTCAGGTATCATAGGTGTATTTCAGAACCTAAGGCTGTATCTAGTTTAAAAATAAAAGGAGAAAAAGTAATCAAACCATGAAATAATGAATTGTCTTAATGTCCACATCAACTTAGCAATCAGACTTTTATGTAAATCAGGTGATCAAGATGAAATTTTTCACTTATGCATGATAATCTTATGTTATGTGAAATAGTTCTCCTGATTTGGCTAGGCTGAGTTAGTTTTTATTCTCTGTTACTCTGCTTACGTAGCTCTTCCTGGGATTCTCTTTCCCCATAAATCCTATCTACCTTTAATAACAATTTCAATGGTACCTCTTCCATGAAGGCTTTCTATAAATCTCAACTGAAAGAATTACTTTCTTCATAAAATGTTAACTATCTGTGTATGATTTGTGGCACAATGACCACTAATTCAAAATGTAGAAAGATTATTTAAAGGTCTAGTTCAACATTTACTGGCTGAATGGTCAAAAACAGGTCATTGTCCCCTATATGCTTTGTTATAGTGATTTTACTAAGAGGAATACTAATGCTGGTAGCAGAGACAATGCTTATTACATTATTTTCTTTCTTGGCCTCACAAGAAAACAATACTTTTCAACTACTCTTGGCTTTGCATTCAGGTTATATGACTGGTTCTGATCGAGAGAATGTGAGCAGAAACAACTTGTGTTGAATTAGGCTGAGGGCGATATCAGCTGGTGTGCCTCTGTGACTATGCTCTGTCCTCACAGTAGCCATGTGTTGAGATGGAGGGAACAGAACAGAGGTTTATTGCTGTGACCAGGGTCTCTGATCCATGATTGAAGGAGAGCACTTCTTGACCCAAATGGTTGCATGAGTGAGAAATAAACTTTTATTGAATATGTCACTGGAACTTCAGGGTTAATTTATAACCATGAATAGCTTATCTCAATCCTGACACATACTCTTCTATCTCACAGAGTTGAGGAGAGCATTCAGTGAAAAAGAGTTCTTTTCAAACATATACTATTTACGAAGTGTTCTTCTTTATCTATATGAACTAATGTAATGTTATATTGGAAGTGTGTTGGAAATTGTAACTATTTATTATATTAAAAGGCTAATACTTTGTTTTTGCATGTCTTCACATTTTATTAATCTGTTGGTTCTTTAAGAATGGATTGGAGTATAATATATTTATCAGAGGCAGTATTGCACAATATTTAAGAATGTGAGCTTTAGGTTTGTATCTTAACCATACCACTTACTAGCTGTGTGACTTTGTACAAGGTACTTAATGTATCTGTGTCCTGTTTACTCATCTGTAAAATAGGGTGGATAACACTACCTATATCCTTGAATTTTTGTGGAGCATAAACAACTAATGAATGTAAATAAAGTGCTTAGAAATGTACCCGTCATAAACCACGGGTTCAAGAAATGTTTGTTATTGTTTTCTACATGTTCTTTCCAGAATTTGGCAGTATTTTGGAAAAGTGAATAAATGATATGACTAAATGTTTTCTAATCTCTGCTGTAATGAATTTTTTTGGATTATAACATAACTTTACACATTATGTTTGTGGTCAAATTTCCCGTGATTTCTTTCCCACATTAGTATGTATCCTATGTTTTAGCTTCAGTCTTTGTATTAAGGACTTACCTTTAAAAATAAAAAATAATTTTTATTTTTATGCCATCTGGAGATACACATGATATGGGACCTGATAGAGCTAAACAAAGATACACACATATTTGCTGAGTGGGTAGAGACAGACACAGTTGCTCTCAGCCACC